TTAACCAGAAGCCTAATTGGAATCACATAATCTGCTTTGTCACATCAGTGCAGAAGGTTCAGGCTGTGCACACACACACACACACACACACAGCCACTGAGATTTGGGAGGTGGCACATAGACAGTTTCGCACATGATCACACAAAAAAAAAAGTACAAAAGAGGTTGAGAGGAGTTAAAGGAGAAAGATAGGGGCACTTTTAGACAGACACAAGGACAGAGGTGTCCAGGGGGAAGCTTGTTTAGAGAGCACCTGCCGCCGACCCCTAAGGAGCAGACAGATGATTCGCCACAGGGACAGGTGTGCCTGACAGCTCGATTACACGCACACACACACACACACACACACACCTTCTCACACACGTAGCATTTCAAAGAATACGTGACTACAAGCAGAGAGGGGACCTTGAAAACAATTTGCCTCCTTCGGCACACCAACAAACTCTTCTGTGCGTGCGCGAGCGTCTATCAAAGACACACACGGAGGAAGTGACTGTAAAACACTGCAGCAAGCAGAAAAAGGAAAAAGACAGCACACGGCGGGGGGCAGATGAAGAGATAAGTCATACTTGGATCGTTTTTTGAAAATTAGAGCCAGTTAAGATGAGAGGTGAGGAAGAAGCAGAGCAGCCCTGAGAGTTTGCCCTGCAAGTGCTTTTTTTTGTACGTGGGTAATAGTGTGCAAAAATGTAATTTAAACATTTATTTACACGTATTTTGCTTCCAGGATGTACAATCAAGGATAATGATGATTTTCTAGGCTCTTGGATGGAGTGTACCCCTCTATTTTGCCCAATAGGAGCAGGGATAGGCTCCTCCCCTTGATCAGATTACACTTAACAACTGGATGGATAAATGATACATTTTAAATGTTTTATTAACCATATAATTCTGATTGAATATGTATGGACAGTTGTATAAGATTTCAACTCTGTGTGGTACAGTTTTTCATGTTGTATTAAACTGAGTAAATTTTCCATAAATCTTTGTAATAATCAAATCTCAATTACTGAGGTGAAGAACAAAAAGCTCAATATATTCTGGCAAAATATCAGAAAAAAAAGGTAAGCAAAAATGTTCATCCACTATCACCACCCTGCATTCGTAACTTATTCTGTTACTTCTTATTTGAGTAGCATTCTCAAAACAATGTCTAAACCAACCTCTTGCCGAGAGCTGGGACCTTTCTGTGTTTACTCAGTAATTCTAAATGAGGCCCCAAGGCAAACCTAGATACTTCTGTCACACAAGATGTGACTGGTGTAACCATAAAAAATCTTAAACGTTTTAAACAGAATAGAATAAAACAGAATGAAAGAATGAAATATATTTTTGTTTAAATAATTGTTTGAATCTTTTTCTGCTCCTTAATGACTTTTTTCATCCAAGTGCTCACAATGAAAGGGCAGTGTGAAATCTATGTGATGAGACTGAATATTTACAGTGCTTATGAATGAATGAATATTCATCTGTCATTACATTTGTTTGACAGTTTTTTTCCTTGCTAGCATTGAATGTCAGTGGTAAATCCTGCTATAGGAGAAATGCATTGGGGGAGTTGATCCTGTGAAGTAGACACACACACACAGAACACCCATCCACTGAGTAGAATGCTAAAGGGCCTTGCTCTCCAGTGACAGCACCGCAAAGCCATCATTTATGTGTGTGCGTGTGTTTGGAAACAGCCATAAATAACAGTCAGTGTACTGCAGGGAAGCCATAGTTAAATGAGGGAGCTTTTAATCTTCATCAATAGCTAAGTGTGCCTAACAGTTTGTGTGTGCTGTGTGGTGGATGGCCTAACAGGATGTGTGGCCTGAAAAAACCTGGGCTTCACATTTTATTAGTCTCAGGTTAAGATGCACACGCGAGCATGCATTCATGCATTCATACATTTACCTTCCTGTGTTAAAACCGTGGACAGATGCAAGAGATGTTTTAAAAGTGTGTTCAGCCACCGTGTGCGTGCTTGTGTGTGAGGTGAGAGGCCGATTCTTTTGTCAGTGAAATCATTTTCCATCTTTGTGTTTGTGTGGTGTGTGTGTGTGTGTGCCTGTGTGGTTCTGTCTTTCTGTCAAGGCATATTTCTCAGTGGGTGTGCTCTAAAAAGTGCCCTCTCCTTCTTGTCAAGGTTGAACTAAGCTAACATTTGAAACACACACACACACACATTCACACAGACTTATGAAAACACTTGATCACGTTGCACCTACACGCCGGAGCCGGAGCACAAAAGCTGCACAGGCAAACACGCGAAAAAAAAAACTCACCTCGTCGTGACTCCTCATCAGCACTCTGAAACAAGCCATTGAAAAGGCTGTGATTTTGATTAGTTCAAATCCTTTAATAACAACCCCAACAGCCTCTTTCATTTCGTTCAGGAGCTTCGCTATTCAAGCTCGGCAGAGAAAAGGATCGGCCTGGAGGAGCGTGGGCTTACTGCAGGCAAGGAGAATAAAAGGATCACTTCTCTCAAGGACTGCCTGCCTGAGCTATCTCACATCGGTGGTTTACGTGGATGGCAGCAAGTTAACTTGAAGGACAAGAAGTTGGTATATTGCTAAGTTGCATAAAAAAAAAAAGTTCATGCGAATATTGGGGCACTAAACAGGAGCACATCTCAGTGGAACTTAGATTTGTGCGTTCTGGTGTTAATGGGGATCAAATCCTCCACAAAAGCTTATATCCACCCAACATATCCATCTACCCCCTGAAATTGCCAAATGCGTTTACGTTCAAACACACGGAGGGAAACTGAGATTTACAGGATCACAGCATGTTTAACATTAGTCCACAGAGACAAGCCGGAGCCTGTTCGCGAAAAGGAAAACACAACTTGCGCCGAGATTGACTGATTTTAGTTCAAACCAATCAACAGACAATTCTGGCCATGACAACTTTTGACTCAGTCACATTAGCTGGTAGGATTGTCAGTCAAACCAGCCTTGCCTGGCAGTCCTTAAAAATAAAACTGAGGCCTAGTTTTTATGAGTTATTAGTCAAAATTATCACCATAATACCCTTTTAGAAGGGAAAAAAGTATAAGGAGTTTACTACATGATGGACAGTAGCAAAATAAATAAATAAATAAAAGGAAAGTGAGGGCTTAAACCCCACACTGCTTTGGACTCCCCGTGTCTCTCTCTGTGCTTTACTCCCTCCCGCCCTCTCTCTTCATGTGTCTGTAGGTAAAAACCCCATTTCCCTGTTCTCCTTAGGGAACACTGACCTAACTGCCCGCGCTCCCCGGAGCCCGGGATAACTCTGCAGACCCATTTGTCAACGCTGACCCTGAAATCTTCCCTGTGTCCACCCCCCTCTGTACATATTCCCACCCTACCCATTGTCTCTTCTTCTGGTTATTTTTAAATCCTCCCCACATGTCTCACCGCCTGCCTGTTTTTTCAAAACAAAACAAAACAAAAAGTACTGAAAGCTGGATAGGTTGGGCAGAGAGAGATAACACAGACGTATGTTGAAGAAAAGAGGAGCTCAGAAACCAGCAAAATAATTGATACAAAGATTTTGTGCTGAGCCTGAATAAGGTATAATTTCAAAATGGCAGCTTTAAACTGTATTCACTATGTAATGATGACTTTATATATAATTCAAGAAATGTTGCCCATACCAAAGATCCTAGGTTAAATTATCACCTGATTCTGCACTTCCTCCGAGCTTAATTGAGCATTTTAAGCATCCCTCAGCTGCTTTTAGACTCGGATGCCAAACTGGAGTTGGTTCAGTTTTGTCTCAACTCTCAAAATCCCTCATTTGCAACTGCAACTGCCAGAGGTATTCTGCTTTAAATCACTAAACAAAGTGTTTTAACAGCACCAAACAGGTGATGGATAAATACGTCAACTGGCTACAGAAATCTAAGCAGCATTTCATTAAAAGAAGGCTAAGGAGTATATTTAATGAAGACCTATTATAAAATTGCCGTCTTTTTTTGCTCAGCAACAAGAAAGACAACAAAGACAAGAAAAAGCTGAAGCCTGCCTGTCCTTTGTAGGGTGCATTTTCGGGCTGCGTAGTTCTAGTTTTAACAGAGTTTGCATACAGTAATAACAGTGTGAAATGGGAGTAAGGGAGGGGACTTAATAGGATGCGCGCTGACTTTTCTCAGCAAAATCCTTATCGCTAATAGCCATACTATCAACTTAATTAAAAGAGAGCTTTTTTTCTCAAAAGCTCCTCAGCCTTGCTCAGGTTTGCCTCCGTGCTTCTTATTCCATCCCCAACACTCATTTGTGCTCATTTCACCTCTTCCTCTCTGTTGCTCTCTCAAGGAGAAAGCTGTTGAGTCACTCCCTCCTCGTCGCCTTTCTCCTCCCACGACCACTGAAGTCAACTGAATTCAGCAACACCACAAAAGCGGAGGGCTTGCCGTGCCATGTCGGATACATGATGCGACACGACACTTTAAGGGCTACATATTAAGGGCTGTGCAGTTTTAAAAAGAAAAAAAAAACAAGTGCTGGAATGTGTTGCAAAGTGGCCTGAAAGCCAGAAAAAAAAAAAGTTCTCATTCGCTGCAGCATTTTCCAAGTCGGGAAAAGGATGTGAAAAGGATGTCTTTGTCGCCACTGGAACCTACACGAAAAGCCTCCTCAAATGATATAGCTGTCACTCTTAGTTATATATAGGAAATTTGTCCCCTTCCATTTCCATGTTCAACACAGAGATCATGCTTTACACCTACATACATAAAGATGCCTCTGTAAAATCGCTCTGACACAAAGGAGGGGAGGCAAGAAGCCAGAAGATGGACACGAAGCACAAGCTGAGAGAATAGGTATTCTGCCACTTTCCCATCTTGGGAGTGGAGAGTCTGCTGCGCCGCTGACGGGGGGGGGGGGGCCCGTTTGGCTCTCAGGGGGCTGTCAGCAGACACGAAAACACTCAAGTTTCTTTTCAACCTCGACAAGACCTCTTAAGTTGTCTTTCATGTTAATGGGTGCAATGCAGCATCCTTGTTTTTGGAGCGGAAGTTTTAATAGCTAAGTGCTGAGGGCGCGTGACGTCGACTGCGAAAGAATGGAAACGGGGGCCACAGAGAGGGAAATAAAGCAAGTGTGCTGATAAAACATGAATAATGCCATTTTCCCGAGGAACCCACTCCCACCCTCTCTCCGGCGCTCACAGCTTGTTCCCTGCTCGTCGCACGGGGCATTCTTACAAGTCTTCCCATTCCTCCATCCAGCCATCCATCTCTCCATCCACCCCTTGTGCCTGTCTAGCCCAGTACTTCAACACAATTAAGGTTGACTTCATGCTCCACGGGGCTTTCCATCATAATGGAAAGGCGAGGGGAACAAGGGAGAGGTTCATTGAAGTGATATTTAATTCATGCCACTCTTACTGCTTGCATCTCTACGTTCCCTGTCTTTTAGCACAGCTCACTGCTCCAAACATGGTGCAGTGGTAGGCGAGGCTGCGCTACACGAGCGCTGAGGGTGAGGCTCGTCTATTTTGATGGAATTGTTTTGCTGTGCCAGAGAAGCTCTACTGTACACAGGAGGAAGTTAGCAGGCAGGATTAGTAAGCCAGCTCTTTTTTGATGTGACAGTTCCCTGTAGAGTGATGTGACATAACATTATATACATATAGGTATGTATGAGTGTATGAGTGTATGAGTGTATATGTGTATGTATGTATGTATGGATGGATGTATGTATGTATGGATGGATGGATGGATGGATGGATGGATGATTGCCACCCCCTTTCGACGCAAATTCCATATAGGTAATATCTCATGTTACCGACCACAATCGTCTAAAAAAGAAGAAGGGATGGAAGAAAGTTGAGAAATGCATGAGAGAAAGTTTCTGGAGGATCAGCTTTGACGGAGTAAAACACACTCACTACAAAAGGAGAAATTGTCGAGACTGGGCTTTATAGTGCTTTGTCGAAAAACAGCATAGTTACACAGCAGCTCCCAAATGGAGGCTGCTTTTCTATTTTACTGTAACCAGTGTTCAATTTAAAGTAGTTCTGTCACAGTGTATCACCTGTCTCAACTCCATTTTCCCCTCTTTCACATTTTAGATTATGTCTGAGTGTGAGGTGCATTCTTTTAGTTTCTTTTCTAATTAGATCAAGCTATCAAGCTCAGTGCTGACGCCTGACCTCCCCACTGAGCAGAAACTAAATCCAATCCCAAAGCAGTTCAAAGATATCCTCCTATGGTTCAAACAAACCAGGGGATCGCACCAAAAGAAGAAAAGAGATACACGAAGAGATGTGTCAGCAGATTTGAGAGGACGGCTCTGTGTGTAGCACAGACAGGGTTCTCCAGCTCAGAGTTTAACCAAGCCTCACCAGCTTATGCTTACTGTTAACCAAAAACCTGTTCTGACAATTTAACCTTAAGTAAACCTAAAAAAAAAAACTTTCTTCTGCTCCTTTAAGTCGTATTTAAGAATTTCTCTAGTCATCTTGAAGGATTACCAAAGTTCTTTCATGTCAAGACGATTCAACTCTGCCTCAAGTCTGTACTCTGTGGAAGATCATAGCCCCGTGAGACCTGTGGTCAGTTTTTTTTCAGTCCAGTTCTCGTATCATTCGGCACACTGTAGAATTTTCTGAGGATTTCCTGAGAACGGCTTCTAGACATTCACCCTTTCATAGAGATAAGGCTTTGGTGAAGGCGAGAGGAGCTGCTGAAGAGTCAGACGCATTTCTTAGGTTCGGTGTGAGTTTATTTCCCAAGTATTTTTTTAAGGACATCAATTTCATTCACAGTTTATCTAAGTTACTGATATGTTTTTAGACTGTTGAGATATATCAGGTTTTCAGCAAAGAGAAGCCTCTTGTTTAGTATATCTATAGTTTAAGGCTATTATTATCACAAAATTGCATGAATAGACACCTAAAGACACCTTAAATTTGAGGGGGATGAGTCTAGAAACTGGCACACCACCTGCAGGTCTACTTAGAAATCCGTTGATGCAGATTGTCATAGATACGATGGGTTTGGAGCTGCAGGGAAGTGAGGATGGAACTTCTTAAACCCAGACACTGCCAAAAAAAAAAAAAACTTTGTTGACAATTTAACAAGCTGTCAATCCACATCCCTTATCTGAAATCCCGGCATGGATTAAATCAATAGAGTGATGCGTTTAGTGTTCCAAACACATATATGTGTCAACAAAAAGGCTATCATGTTAGCATCCCTGAGGGGAAAGGTGGATTTATATTCATCTACGTGTCTCATGAGAGTGACAGTAGATGGTAATAATATAGTTGGGAAAAAAATCCACCCCTCGCTCTTAGCTGTGTCTCTCTCCCTCCACTGACTGACAAGTTCTGCTGAATGATGCTCCCAGTTAATAAGACGCAGATGCTTACAGTAAAGCTGTTGACAGAGGATTAAAACGCCCAATTTTGACATCCCGAAAATAAGATTATTCTTTATTTATGGACGCAAATTATGCTCATCTCACAAAACTGGGCAGTGAAAAGAGAAAGAGTCGCTAAGTGCAAATATTATCTGAAAATAAGGTTCAAGCTGAGATCAGTGAAGGGGGAACTAGGGGTTGTGGTCATTGTTTTTTTTTTGGGGTATTCCTTTAATCTCATAGCACGGCCGTAAGTACATCATTTGCAGAGGTTATAAGTTATTTTGTGTAACTGTAATTCTAAATGTGAAGTTTAGAATATTCGGGAAACACCTCTAATCTCCAAAATTGCTCCTTATATTATTGGTGGTGGAATTCAGCCAAAAGTTCATTTACCCTGCATATTGTGACAGACAGTTCAATAATGATCACTTTGGAAAAATAATAATAAAAAAAGCCAAGTTAAATCTTAGATTTCCCTGTGCATACATGGCTGTATGCATGTCACTATTCAAATGGTAGTTAGCGAACCCACAGCTTCCAGAGGAAGTCTGTTTCCCATTGTTCCCATTGCATACCAAATAACTAAAGCACTCAGCTGGCTGTGCAGACCGGCAGGAGATGCCCGCCCGGGTCTGATTTTCTAGCTTTTTGCGACTCCCCCTCTCTTGGCCTCATTTCTCTAAAGCTTGTGACTGAGAGGACAAAATGTATATGTCATTTTATTTAATATAGGGCTTTTGATAGTGATTCATGATGGCAGTCAGATCAGTGATACAATTTGCTTTTGAAACATGCCAAGTCCAACATCCAAAAGAGCGTGAATCTTGATTCTAACGCACATTAGTCGAAGACAAACATACAAGACTATTAGTTTGATGTGAGGCAGGATTTTTTCCTAATCCTTGTAATGACACTATAGAGCTAAAAAAGATACATGCTTGGACACGTTTGTGCTGCAGTAATGGCAACGCCCACAAACAAAGTGTTTGAAATCAGGATCATTTTGCTGCAAGACAGGCCTTGCATGTGAATATATACAGGGATATGGCCTGATCAATCCCTGAACGTCTGCAGCCAGCGATGTTGACAAAAAGATTTGGATTCAGTCAGTGATTCACTCAGGAGGACAGCAGCGAGACAGAGAGTAGGAAGCGGCAAAAGGATAAAATGCAAAAGATGAAGTGTGTAAGAAGATTAAAGATTAAAGTAAATGTCTACATGAGTGTTCATCAAAATCAATTTATGTTCTGTTTCACTATCACTCAGAGTTGGTCCTTCTATCCACACAAATTTGTAGATTGAATTAGGAAACTGAAAACTTAATTTTTTTTCCAAATCTAAGGGTTTACTCTGCGACTTTGTGTTTGAGTTCACTGAGTTAACATTAACTTCTACCAGAGCAGCGCTAATATTCAAAAGTGACAAAAAAAGGAAACCTGCTGTTTACAAAGGAGATGAGGACTCCTTTGTAAACTGAAACCTTGCACAACAAAAACAAAACCCCAATACTTTAGAACACATGCCATTAGTGAATGCTAGACAGAGGAGGGGAATTTAAGAAGAATGGGAGGAAATATACTCATGGTACCGCCTAACAGCTTTATTTCCTCTAGTCCTACATATTCATCTCAATCGATTCCCTTTAGAGAAGTGAGAGGCCATTTCTCATCCTCAAGACAGCTGCATCTAGCTGTTGGAAATGCACACGTTTGAGCGTTTTTGAGTTTCAAGTCACTTATTTACACATTCATACACAAACAATCTATACTTTAAGATTACAAACCAAAGAGAGAATAACAAGTTCGGTGTTACCATGGGAATAGAGAATATGTGCCGGAAACCCTAGTGATGTCATTATTGCGCTCTTCCCCAATCCCCGACCTATTATAAGGACACCAAAACAAATTACCTTTGTTCCAAAAAAAAATATCGATGGAGCCTGTGCGTGTACATTTTAAATTCATAGGCTCTAGTCTTGTGTGCATGCAAGCGAACTTAGATATTATCTGTCTATTGGCTTGGCAGAGTGCAGTGGACCCTGTGCTTTAGCAGATTGAAGATGCGCTTGTTAAATGACAGTGTTATTTAAACCAAGCAAAAACAAATGTCTCCTCACAGTAATTGGACAAGCTCATAAATGATATTGTAAAAAAGTTATCCGCTCCCTCCATCTCTCTCTCTCTGCATTTCCCTCCCTTCCAGTGTGATTCGTTGTTTGACACGCGCAAGCAGCAGCAAAGAGCACAGAGCTCGTGCGTGTGTGTGTGTGCGTGCGTGTGTGTGTGTGTGTGTAATTAGACCGCCTGAGGAGAGACAACAGGGATGGATGAATAATATCCTCTGATCGCAGTGACACCACACCCACAAATCTATTACATTAACGATGACATTTATATCAGAGGTGTGTGGTTAGTTGATAAAAGAATTAGAAAAAAGAATAAAAAAGAAGATCTTCAGCCACCAGCCACTCTGTTTGATGCCATGAAAAGAACATTACTCTTGCTGATCCTGGGATCCTGGGATCGATCAACAGAGATAATTTATGGAGGTGGATCCATAAATGACATAAATATACTAAGAGGGAGAACACTGTGTGACTGTTTAATTACTTGAATGGAAAGACTGAGTAAAATTTGCAAATGGAGGGCTTCCCTTTTATCTGTTAGGGACGGGCTTTGTGACAC